CTATTACACAACCATTGCTTGTTTCGGTTCCTTTGGTGTTAGCTTCATGTATTGGAGAGCGCTGGTGCTTTTTATGTCTGTAGCTTTTTACATCTTTGTGAATCAACTCCTTTGTCATATGTAATGCTTTTCTTTGTCTCTTGCAACCTTTTTGGACTTACAGTCTATCTTTGTTGGCAGCCCTCTTGGGTTGCTCATTTGTTTGAGATATTATTTTCTAGCATTTCACTTTAACCTGTTTGTATCTTTGTGTCAAAAATGAGTTTTTATGGACAGCAAATATTTGTTTCACTTTTTAAAAATCTACTCTGCTAATCTCTTTTTTTTTTGGTTGGAGACTTTAATCATTCTCGTTTGCTAGCACAGAAGAGCTGGCTTCTGTACACTTGTACTTGTTTTGATTTTTAGTCTCTCCTGCCTCAGTTTGCTGTAATTAGTTCTGTGATAAACGGGCTGCTGGGTTTTGCCTTGTCTTGTGCAGGACCTGTAGACATTTAATTTTTTGTTACCATTGGGATGACCTTTAACACCCTTAACTGATAACATTCTACTTCGGGGTGTTGCCAACCTACCTTCCATCCTATGAAAGCTCTGTCATCCACCTCCCTGTCCTCTCTTTTCATGTTCTTGTTGTAAATTATATGTTTATACAACGTGCGTCCCATAACATAGATTTATATCTCTGTGCAATTGTATTTACAACTGGTAGAAAGAAATACAAAGCTTTACAGAACCATTCAAATAACAATAACAATAATGATGATAATAATAATAATAAAATGGCGGCAGCAGCATCTCTATTTGCAGCTCCCTTGCTGAGATCTCCATTTCTCCCCCAGCTTTGGGTTCCTGTCCAGTGCCCTTTGCCTCAGCTGGATGGAGGCCCCACCAGTGTCACCTGTAATGCTGTCCCATGGTCAGAAACTCCCTCAGCTTTGGGAAATCCTGGGTGGCTTAACTGCTCCCTCATTGACATGCTGGGGATGGAGGAGAGACAGGCAAACCTCACAGGACCACCCCTCCTGTTCTCAGGCCACTCCCTCCCCTGTGAACTTCTGACTAGTTTCCAGGGTGAGTGCCCGCTTATTTTCCATGCACTACAGGGAAAGGAGGAGGAGGAGCTACCCACTCTTTCACTCTGCTGTGGTGACTCAGTAGGAGAGTGGATTTCAGTCAGATATTTGATTTGCTTGTATGCAGGTTCTGTGTTATTTTTTGTTGTTGTTTTCTTTTTTGTTTGTATGTTGTGGGTACCAGTTTGAACCAGAGGCTTCCCACGGAGCTATGTCCCCAGCTTT